AGCCAGGGCCCCTCCCCGATCTGCTCGTTGGCCATGGCGGACGAGCCGGCGCTGCCGGTGGCGGCGGGGAGGGACAAGGACGAGCGCCGCCGCTTGATAGGCAGGTGCGCGCTCGCCGTCGTCGGCATCATGAGCACCCTCCTCGTCTACGGCGTCCTCCAGGTCCGCCGCCTCACCGCCCGCTTCCCCCCTCTCCTCTGTTCGGGTCACTCCTGCCCAGGCTTTTCGCACCGAGGAGTGTGCCGCCGGGTGCAGTGATAGCGGGGGATTAGTAGCGATCTGTTCGTGTTTGTTTATTCCTCCCTCCGGCGAAATTCACGGTTCGAAATGGTGAGATTGCATTTGCTTCGGGAGTTAGCTGGCCAGTATAGCATGTACGGTGTGATTTCATTCAAAGGCTTCAGATTGAAAATGGAACTGCACAAATTGTACCGAACGATTGGGTGGTACTGGTATTGGTGAATGGCTAGTACTGTCAGTTCATTTTGCGAAGCATGCCTAGCTTGTATTCCATGGAAAATATCAGTGCTCTGTTCAGATAGGGATGGTGTTATGTACATGACCTAAAAAGTTCAGTTTTGACAGTAAAAGGAGAGTTTGGAGTATTCTTCCTTTCACTCCTTCAAGCATCTTTTGTTTCATTTCTCAGATCCAGATAAAAGAATATTCTCCATGATCATGTAGTTGTTAAAACACAGAGAATCCAGATAAAAGAATGTTCTCCATGGTCAGCTTGTTCCATGATAGTTCTTCTTAGTAATTTAGTTTGAACACATGTATTTATGGTTCCGTTCGCTGTTCAGACCGGATGCTGTGCAGCATGAACAGTTCAGGGCTGCCAAACTGGATAGTGTGGTTGAACTAAATCACGTCCTGTTACTTTGGGAATGGTGTATGTATTCACACGTCTGAACTCTGAACCCTTTGATGTGCGAGTACCACATCTCTTTGTTACTGTCAGTTACCTGTTCCTTAGCTTGCTTGAAACAAACTCATTTCTGCTTTACATGGCGTTGAATGGGCATAAAACACTAAATGGAGGGTTCTGGTCAATTTTATGCAGGAAAAACTCATGAGAGTTCCCTATGGAGCAGAGAAGGAGTTCTTCAGATACTCACTATTTCTTGTTTTCTGTAACCGTATCACCACATCCATGGTGTCTGCACTCGTGTTACTGGTATGGATCTTCCTATATCGCCTGTTCTACTTTTCTGAACCTGCCAGACTCCTAAATCGTGTATATTTATGCAGTCGAGTAAGAAGTCCACGGACCCAGTGGCTCCAATCCAGAAATACTGTGTTGTCTCCTTCTCAAACATACTAACCACAACTTGCCAGTACGAGGTTATGTATTAGTTTTGTATATCTGCTGTTGTTGGCTCCTATTGCTTCTGTACATAATACATGATGTGATTGTTTCAGGCCCTCAAGTATGTGAGTTTCCCTGTCCAGACACTTGCCAAATGTGCAAAGATGATTCCTGTTATGGTAATATCTTTTGTACTGTGACCTGTGAGCTAGCCTGATTTTCATAAGAGTATAGATGTCTCCTTTTCTTTCAAGTTAATAAACAGTGATCGGTGTATGGAACTTGTACATAGGCTAATTTGGTGCTATTGTTAAACTGAACCTATGTGAATAAAGTGGCTATCAAAGTTGGAAAAATAGTTTATAAGTTGCGTGTGAAAATTACTGTGCAAGATGATTCTGAGACTCCCAGTTCATCTGATACTACTATTTGGCTACTTTCATTCATCTCTCAGCCACTCCCTCCGTTTCTAAATGTAAGACTTTATAGAGATTTCAATATGAACTACATATGGATGTATATAGACATACTCTAGAGTGTAGATTCACTCATTTTGCTCCGTATGTAGTCCATATTGAAATCTCTAAACAGACTTATATTTAGGAACGGAGGGAGTAGATACTAAAGCATAGAAAATCAGGATTGCATATCAATCACCTTGAGTTTATATGTCTGGACGTGCTTTATTTTTTTGTTCCACAATTTATGTATTTTTATTTCATTTCCTGGATATCAAGCCTTGTTATGACCATTCTTTGATTTGATTGATTTGTAGATTTGGGGCACGATAATTATGAAAAAGAAGTATGGTGGAAAAGATTACTTCTTTGCAGTCATTGTGACCATGGGCTGCTCATTGTTCATTCTATACCCGGTAATCCAAATATCCCAACTCATTTCTCTGTATTGTTGAGCACCACATAGTTGCATGTTGCTTTATTCTCTAGTTGTCCATGTCTGGAAAATGTCATTGAGACTGGAGAATATAGAAATTTCATTTAACAACCAATACTGCATCTGCCATCTGCACACCACATTACCAATTTGGTAGTAATGATATATATGCTATAGGATTGAATTCAAAGAAGGATGGAGATTGGCTTGAAATATACCCCTATAAACTATCTTTTACCACTTCAATACAACCAATACTGAATGAAGTTTCACACAACAAGGGGGTACAAGCGGTAAAAGGTTCTAGAAAGAGGAGAAGGGGATACAATGAAGAAGAGGTCCAGGGAGGAAGGACTCAGGCACCGGGTTCTTCTGGCTCACCATCTCTCGATTGATGCCCTTATTTCTTGCCCTCCACCAGCTTAAATAGAGTTGCCTACCTTCATCTGGATCAGCACCATGGGCTTCTAGCCCCCTTGTCACTGCAGCCCATACAACTCTAGTGTTCAGATCACAGTAACTGAAGGATTAGCAACTCATGTGTTGTAATAAAGAAATCCATAGCATGTCCGTGTCATATTTGTACGTAAGGCCAACACTTCCCTGGCTTCCCACTTGCAAGCAGTTCACGAGAAAAACACATCATCTCTGCAAGAGCTTGTGAATTAATTCCAGCACCAGAGTTAGTTTTATGCAGGTCAAAATTGATAGCATTAGCAGCAAACACCTTCATGTTGTTTCCTCAAAGATTGCATCCCTTGCATACCCTGAAGTGGCGACCATGGCTCCTTAATGCACTCTTCTGAGACCGCCCTTGCTGTTTACAAGTACTATTGGCGAATCCAAGCAGAGGAATACAAACCTCTAGGATCCCATTGCCTCTCTGAATGGAAACCAGTGGTAGCTCACAGCCGTGTAATTAACAACAGACCTGAATTCCGCCTTGTACCCATCACAACTTCTATCATCTCCAAGAGTGAGTACATGACCAAGTTTGAAGTGAATGATCATCATTGAGCCGCTGGACATGTTGCTTCTCCACAGTCATTAGATTTGGCGGTGACGGTAGTGAGAACCCTTATTGGGAATAGCCTAATGGACATAGCTGTATCCAGCTTGATGATGTTGATGACACTGATGGCACCGTTGTTGTCGAGCAGACCGCTTAACAGAGGTTGTGTGCGTACCAGACAGGGTTAGTAGCAAGGAAGATTACAGGTTTCCCAACTTGCAGTTACAGCCCAGGTACAAGAACTCCCTTGGTGATGGTGGTGTGGTGCTAATGCTGGTCATGTTAGAGGTGTGGAAGGGTGTTTAGATGGCTCTCATTGCATATGATGCAATCCCACTTCAATAGGTTCCTCTGGTTCACCTATGTCTTGACTGATGTGTCTGTTGCTTTCCCTCCACTAGTGTAAGTAGAATTGTGCGCCTTCACCTGCTTCAGCGGTATGGGTTTCGAGCCCCTTGTCGTTGTAGCTCATACAGCCAGATCCAGTGGCCCATACAGTTCACGGCACTATGTTAGGCAACATATTCTGTTACGGGGTTTTGGAAGCTGATAATAACGGCGTGTTTGGTTTTAGCCTAAGCTTGTCTTGCCAAATATTTGGCTAGCCAAAATTCTGGTCAAGGTTTTGCTAGCCAATGATTTGGCCAACTTTGTCAAGAAAGCTGAACTAGGGTGTGTAAAGAAGCATTGGCATGCCAAATTTTTTCCATGATTTCATACAAAAACCAAGTTTTTTTTCATGACCAAAATATTGGCAGGGTAACTTTTGGCCACAATCCGAACATACCCTATTTACTTCATTTGGTAATTAGCCAATGCACCTGTGATATCCTTTGTATTTTGGAATGGTGCCTGAATCATATGGCGTGCCTGAAGTGATATCCTTTTCTTTCTGATCTCATGGATGCAGGCATCAATGGATGTTAGTCCACTTAATAAAGGCAGAGAAAGTACTGTTTGGGGTGTTTCGCTCATGCTTGGTTATCTTGGGTACAACTTCTTCTCTTCTTCTACTTAATTTTCTGCTTAGAAAGTAAGCAATAATATTTGAGTTCATGATATAATGTATGGTAGCTCAGTTTTGTGAATTTTGTTGATTTCACAGCTCTATTTGACATGTAAGTCTGCTTTTAGTTTCTACCATGTTATTTTTTTATTGTATTAAGTAGCATTAGCTAGAACTATGCATACGAAATGCATGTATTGCTATGACTCATTGAGTATCTAAACTGCTGAGGAGATGGTGGTATTATAATTTTGGAGGTTGTTGCAGCTTTAGATTGGATGTAATCTAGTAAATTTCTAAAACATGAAAGTAGACAAGATCAACTTACTTTTTACAATTTCCCACTGGTCACTACTGTAGGGTGTGAGTGTGGGTGCAGTGGCGCACTATTCGCTTACAAGGTTTATTGCTTTCTTTCTTTGGACCAGTTTTCTTTCGCACCCTGGTTGTTATCTAACATGATCCTCCTTCTCTTGGATTTCTAGATTTGATGGTTTCACAAGCACCTTCCAAGACAAACTCTTCAAAGGGTATGAGATGGAAATTCACAACCAAATATTCTACACGACAATGTGCTCTTGTGTTATTAGCTTGAGTGGTAATTGCTTACTCAATGATTACTTGTGTCATCTTTTGATTATGTACCAAATCTGTTGCTATCAAAGTTTCTATTACTGGAGATTCTGTCGAAGTTTTGCGTTAATCTGTTGCACCTAGTCTGTTACACCTACACTGTACAATACACTATTAACAGTTGCAATGAATAATTTATTTTTTTGTTATTTTTTTCCTTTCACAGGGCTTATTCTCCAGAATCATCTTCTTCCAGCTGTGGACTTTATGGTTCGTCATCCAGATTGCTTCTATGACGTCCTAATCCTATCCACTGTAAGACTTACCTTTTAACTCTTTAATCAAAATGCAATGTGCTTGTTCCTTTTTTTTACCCGAAGCACATCAATACAAGTCTGATGGATATTGGTGGAGGGAGAGAAAATCACATTTTAGGAAATGAAAATAAACCGACATAAATATTGTGCGACTTCCTGTCTAGCACAATGTGAAATCTTGGACAAGTTGCAGTTGTAGCTATCTCAAATTACGCCCTCCTATGACCACAAATTGAAGCTGCACCATAAATGTTTGAATGGTAGATCCAAGATATCTTTTGGCCATGTGATTTAAACAACTTGATCTCCCCAGGTTGCAACAGCTAGCCAGTTCTTCATATCCTACACTATCCGGACATTCGGGGCTCTCACATTCGCTACCATCATGACAACCAGACAGGTGGATATAGTTCTCACCAGTATCGAATGTTTGCACTTAAATCATTTTGACTGTTTCCTCACCGCAATTCAACTTGTGTTTCCGCAGTTGGTGAGCATACTACTGTCCTGCGTCTGGTTCGTGCATCCCCTTAGCTGGATGCAGTGGGTTGGAGCTGTAAGTTATCTATCACTGTCTCATCACTCGACTCATAACATTTTGTGTCTTTGTTGCAATTAAAAACGACACTCCATGCTATACCAGGCCATTGTATTCGGAGCCCTGTACACCAAAACCTTCTCAAGAAACAAATCGCAGAAGGCCGCGGTCGCGAGCTCATCGTCGCAGGGTTCTGTGCCAAATGCTGCTAACAGTTGACCAGAAGAAATAACAAATAGGAACACGGAAGGTTTGATCCACTTGTCACTTTGCTGTACTGGATGAAAATTTTCATGTCGGAGGCGAGTGACAGGCATCCTAACAAATTGACTGAGAGAACAGATTGTAGAGTCATGCCTTGGCTCCGAATCATCAACCTGGGGAGCTCTGAAAGGCTTAGCTGAAGGCCCATTAGTTTGTTGATGCACAAGAGTGATCGGGGCTGCCGACATTTTTCTCTGAGGCCGTTCGCTGTTAGCTACAGTAACATAATGTTGTGATGTAAACTGTAAACCTGACGATTTACTCCATAGATAGAAAAAGTCTTTCCACCCATAAGAGGGAGGAAAGGCTGAGATTTTTGTGCGTGCAGCGCGTTACCTTGCACTGAATTTTTCATGGCTGATGGTGTGGTGTAGAGTTGGTCGTGCCATAGGACCGAGCGAATCACGTTCGCGAGATAATTGTGATTTTTCGTTTCATGGAGACTATATACATGCATGAATGGGCGTTAGCCATATAGAGCGCTTCAAAGAGAAGCATAGCTTGCGTGCATGTGAAGTGAAATTAAGCAGATTGATCGATCGATCGACCGACCTCACATGGTTTTGATGTCACAATACCACGGTATCGTTTAAATCTTGGTATCACTTGATATATGTTAAACCACCTTTGTAACTCGAGCAAAGTTTGATAACAAATTGTCGTTTAACATTAGGATCATAGCGAAAACTTTCGATCGAGCTCTGGAATGCTCAGGTTTTCCAGCATGTCATACGTTTTAATCGCGGGGCACTCAATGTTGTAGCCTCTTAGTTTTAGGTCTTAGTGAGACAAGACCTCTTTGAGCAGTGAGCACCTACATATACTTTGCTTTCTTAATTAGTGTAAAACAGAGTGGACAACTTGTGCGCAATCGTCAGGCGATGTGCATGCCATGTGAAATTTGAAACTTTTGTCACACAAACTAGGTCAGTTGATCTTTGCCTCTTTCGTCATCACACTAGTAGAAAAGGGGGCATTGGTCCAGGCCGGGTCAGCCCATTAGTCCCGGTTCAACCCAGAACCGGGACCAATAGGGGCATTGGACCTGGTTCATGAGCCCCGGGGGCCGGCCGGGCCACGTGGGTCATTGGTCCCGGTTCGTCTGGACCTTTTGGTCCCGGTTGGTGGGACGAACCGGGACCAATGTGCCTTGCTCCTGACCCACCACCATTGGTCCCGATTCATACCACCAACAGGGAATAAAGTGTTGGTCCTTGTTGCGGCCAGAGTTTAGTCCCACATCGCCAACCGAAGGGGGCTCACACCGGTTTATAAGCCCCTCCCTCTCTGTCTTATTGAGCTCCTCTCGAAATGAAAATAGATGCCCTTATACAGGAAATTTGACCTAAATTCATACTGAATTTCTCTCTGAAGTTAGTAGAAATTTATTATGAATTTATGTTGAATTTTCTCTATAAGCGCATCTATGCTCATTTCTGAGTAGTTTTTTATATAGTTTTTTTCTTTTCTGCTATATTTATTTTTTTCTATTTTTTTCTGAGTTGTAATAAGTCATTAAAAATAAAAAAGATTTAAGTAAAGTTAATCACAACTATTTTTTCTTCTATTTATTTCTGAGTAATTTTTTATATAGTTTTTTTCTTTTCTGCTATATTTATTTTTTTCCATTTATTTCTGAGTTGTAATAAGTGAGTAAAAATAAAAAAGATTTTAGTAAAGTTAATCACAACTATTTTTTCTTCTATTTATTTCGGAGTAGTTTTTAATATAGTTTTTTTTCTTTTCTGCTATATTTGTTTTTTTCTATTTATTTCTGAGTTGTAATAAGTGAGTAAAAGTAAAAAAGATTTTAGTAAAGTTAATCACAACTATTTTTTCTTCTATTTATTTCTGAGTAGTTTTCTATATAGTTTTTTTTTCTTTTCTGCTATATTTATTCTTTTCTATTTTTTTTTGAGTTGTAATAAATCATTAAAAATAAAAAAGATTTTAGTAAAGTTAATCACAACTATTTTTTCTTCTATTTATTTCTGAGTAGTTTTTTATATAGTTTTTTTTCTTTTCTGCTATATTTATTTTTTCTATTTATTTCTGAGTTGTA